CTCGTCTCCCGTACGAAGCTGTCAGTTCCACTTTTCGCTTCCCTCTCAGACTGCCGCCATCGCTCCAGGCCGGCCTTAAAGACCGGCTTCTTCTCCGCCAATTTTAAGAGTGCAGCTCCGGTTTGCTCGGGTGTTTGCGTTCCACCCGGCTTCTCTGAAGCTTCCTCTTTAGTTTACCAATCTCTCCGGGATCGGCAAAACCCTTTCTGGGCTCTTAGCGAAGATTTCCCGGGATTTAGGAACAGAGATCTATTCCTTCACCCGCTCCACGATGACGTCACAGCCGGAAGTCCTCCCATTTTGTTATTTAGATGTTCTCAGTCAATTTTTCAATCTTTTATTTCCCACATTATAAAGTTATTGAAATCTAGCAGCATTTTATACGTCACATTATCATGGAGTTAATGTTTTTCATTCTTTTTTAACCAGTGTCTCACTCATTGCCACCAAGTTTCCTGTTATCATGAATACTCTTTCATGAATCTCAGGTGATGTCAGGACTAACAATCTCCATCAGATTTTTGTTAATTCTTTCATAAATAAAAGCATTGTCATTAAATGAATGCAACAATTGCCATACGAATGGATACAAAATAAGTGAGTATAGCGTATGAATCATTTAAAACAAAAACAGACAACCCCTCTCTGTTCTTTATCAGCCATTGAAAATAACCATTATGGCAAATTATAGAAGATGAAGATGAGAAGATTGGTGGTGTTGATGGTGTTGGTTGTGAACAGCTTAATGGATAGCAAAGTTCTGGGCTAACAAGCCACAGTATTTTAATTTTTTTTGCTAGTACTATTTTATTCTGTATTCTAGTTTTTCTGTTTTCAGTTTCTGAAGCTGGGATCCCACCCAAAATAATAATAACAATAACAATAATAGAGTTGGAAGGGACCTTGGAGGTCTTCTAGTCCAACCCTCTGCTCAGATAGGAAACCCTATACCACTTCAGACAAATGGTTGTCCAGTCTCTTCTTAAAAATTTCCAGTGTCGGAGCATTCACAACTTCTGGAGGCAGGTTGTTCCACTGATTAACTGTTCTGTCAGGAAATTTCTTCTTAGTTCTAGGTTGCTTCTCTCTTTGATTAGTTTCCATCCGTTGCTTCTTGTCCTGCCTTCAGGTGCTTTGGAGAAGAGGCTGACCCCCTCTTCTTTGTCACAGCCCTTCAAATATTGGAACCCTGCTATCATGTCACCCCAGTCCTTCTTTTCATTAGACTTTTCATTAAACAATCATTTTCATTCATTGCTCAGTTTTTAACCTCAGCAATAAGAACAAACAAACAAAAAACTGGCCACAGGCATTTGCTGCTTTTAACAGAATGACAATGTTGCAATGAAAGCTGTGTCTTTTAGATGATAGGCTCAAGATCCAGATGGATCTTGACAGACTTGAAACTGATCAAGGAGAGATTTAATCTAGAAATAAGGAGAAATTTTCTGACAGTGAGAACAATCAACCAATGGAACAGCTTGCCTTCAGAAGTTGTGGGTGCTTCATCAATGGATGCTTTCAAACAGAGCCACTTGTCAGAAATAGTATAGGGCAGTGATGGCGAACCTTTTAGAGACCAAGTGCCCAAAAACTGGTCCTGCCCCCATTCTACCTCCTGCCCTGCCCCTGCTCCGCCCCCACCCCATCCCTTGGCCCGCCTGCCCGCAGGGCCACTTACCACCTCCAGGACCCGCTGCAGATCGCCCAGGCAGCCAAGCAGCGCCATGGCGGCCACGCCCTCTGCCTGCTCCCCACAGCATCAACTGTGCACGATGGGGCCTGAGAGCAGAGTCTTGTCTACGCTGCCTGGCTGCCATGTCCTTGGCTGTGCTGCTTCGCGTGGGCCACGCTCGGGGGCGAGTCTCCTCCAGGGGGGCTGCTGGTGAGGAGGGGGTCACGGGGGAGGCGAGGCTGGGGCAACGGCATGTGTGCCCACAGAGAGGGCTCTGACTGCCACCTCTGGCACGTGTGCCATAGGTTCGCCACCACTGGTATAGGGTCTGTCAGATCAGGAGGCTGGATCAGATGACCTACAAGGTCCCTTCCAACTCTGTTATTCTAAGTCTAATCAAGGAGAACCAACCTAGAAATAAGGAGAAATTTTCTAACAGTTAGAACAATTAATCAGTGGAATAGCTTGCCTTCAGAAGTTGTGGGCACTCCATCACTGGAAGTTTTTAAGAAGAGACTGGACAACCTATTATCTGAAGTGGTATAGGGTCTCCTGCTTGAGTATGGAATTGGACTAGAGGGCCGTCAAGGTCCCTTCCAACTCTGTTATTCTGTTATTCTATCATATGTGGGACATCTACAGATGTAAAGAGAACAAAAATGCCGAAGTAAATGTAATCACTGCTAAATATGCTGGAAAATAAGATATTGCAATACATGGATTCTAAATTAGAAAAAAATTATAAGGATAATTGAAAGAGATGGAATTGGCAATCGTAACACATTTTGATATAATTCAACCAAATCCATTTGATGCTGGATTATAACCCAACTTACTGAAGTCCCAATTAAATATTCAGTTATATATGTTACATAAAATAATCATTACATGTTTTATTAGGTTTATCATACTCGGCCTTCATTTGTTCACTAGATAAGAGCAAAGAAAATGTTTTGGGTCTCTTTGCTAGCATCTTTTCCAGCTCTAGTTCGGTAGCCCAAACTTTGCTATGATGTTAATGTTTTTAAGTTCTAAACTTCAGGTTAGAAGGACAGACAATTCTATCTACAGCTTAATTAAAAACAGTGGCATGCTCTTCACTGTTTTATTCCAGAACATTCAAAATTAAGACCTATCTCCTCCCTAAACGTGCACTCACATATTTCTAATCATATATCATAGGCAAATGCTGCAGTGCTGTATCATGGTAGCTAATCAACATTTTAAATGCAGAAAAAGGCTGGTGACTGAGCTTTGCTCCTTGATCACTGAATCGTCTCAGATGCTGACAAACTTTGTGGCAAACTAGGCAAAACCTGACTTGACTCTACATACCATTGGTGAATGAGGCATGACTTCATGTAGACTTTAACTGCTATTTGAACCAAAGACCATGTGACAATCTAAAATAAACATGCTCCAAAAACCTCTAAAATCTGCAGTCTGGGAAGCCATTGTGGAAACCACTGTTCATACCCTTTTATTTGAAGGGCTGAGGTTGAATCATAAATAGGGTGGGAAAATCAGCAATAAAATGAAATACAACAGTATCTTAAGATATTGTTCAATGGAAAAGTACTTTAGAAGCATCTATAATACACAATCTAAATTAATTTTATCCCATAATTGTTTATATAAAATAGAATTAATTTCAGCTACAAAGTTGTTGTCACTTTTTTAACTCGATGCAATCCAGAAAAAGAAAAAAAGAAAATTATATCCCCTGGGAGTCATTTTACAAGCTACAGAAGGCCAAAGATGGACTTATTTCTACATTAACTTCCCCAAAATAATAACTTGACGCTTGCATTGCAAATTAGCTTCTCACGAATTGTATTTTTCTGTCATTTATGGAACTTTTGAAATGATATGGCTAATAAAATACTTTTATTTTATGTTCCATCTGACAGAGGGAACAGGAGGAAAAGGATAGTTCCTTTTCCTGGAACAAACTTTTGTTCCATGATAACCTGCCAAGTAATAGTAAAGGGATCCAACGTGGGATAAACTGCAACAAGTACTGATGGAAGTTGTGCTACTGGGGCTTTCTCATGGCTGCTAGATTGTGTACCTAAAAATACATCAACCTGGCCCCTTTGGGCGTGGGGGCTGGGAAACGTCGAGCCCCTTCTGAGCCCCTTCTGTTTTAACTGTCCTACCTCTTCTCTCTGGGCACAGCAAGCAGGAGCAACTCAAGTTCATCGAAGGATTTACCTGCCAACAATCACAATTCGCCCCTTCTGGGTAGGATTCATGGTGGTGGAGAAACGCAGAACCTTCCGCAGAGGAAGCAGGCTTAGCAAAGAGGACACCCTCTGGGCCACCAGGGCCACCTCCCGTTTAAAAGGGAACGCGTCCTCCCCACCCCCACTTCTGGGATGTTACGGTCACTTCCATTGGTTGCCAGAAAAGGATGGTTCCTATTGGCTGCCCGCGTGTCCCAAACAACTGCTCCAACCCGCGACTCCGAGGGGGTTACCCAACACGTTCCCACAATTATTAAGATAGAGTCGATACGGGGAGACGCCTTCGGATCATGTCACTTATTCCTATTTTCTTTCCTTCCGACCCGTTCCGGTGGTAAATCTGCGAAGAGCGACAGAGTCTAGAAGCCACCCCATTTCCGACTGTAGTTCTTCTCCCTCCATCTTCCCTCCCCCTTCATATGCCTTCCTCTTCGGAAAAACCAGGGATCCCAACCTTATTCTTTGCTTTAGGGTTTAGCACATGCCCCCGGTCTGGTCCTCTCCACATGTGCTAGGACCAGTCCCCATAATCCCCGACCCACTAGTGCCTGGGAATTAAGGGAGTTGAAGTCAACGGAGCTGAAGGTCTCAAGGTGGAGAAATTTCTTTTGCTCTTGTTTTCCGCGTGGTCCAGCGCTTGCCTAGAGACAAAAGATGAGAAAGCCCACTCGCGCACTTTCTCCGTCTCCTCGCTGCCATGGGAGTCGTGGAACCAACAGAGTCAATGTCCACCCCCTGCCGCTTGTCTTTCCCTTTCTCTGGGAGTCACTGGGGACAGAATCAGACCTTGAGGGTCCGATCCTCATACCAAAACTAAGTTCCAAAAAGGTGCCCATTTCTCTTGCTCAGAATGTCAGTGATGGAGGTGCCAAGTCATAAGAACAGGATGTGAAGGGACTCTACAATGCTTCCAACACCATCCTCTTTATTTAAACTCCTGCCATATAAATCAGTATACCCATATTTTTGTATTTCATGTTTGCGTGCTTTGTGGAAAGAGATTGCTAACTTTTATTTGGCAACAATATGAATTTAATTGCCATTATTTAAAGTTTGCTTTATGTTCTGGAGTTACAAGACCGCTTCAGGCAAAATGATGTTGAAAGAGAGCCATGGGAAAAGCAAAGGCGTTAAAGATCATGCTGATATAATTAGCAAGAGTTTAAGATTGGATGTGCGGATGGTATAATTTGAAAAAATACATTAAAGCCTGAGATGCATCAAATGTAAAAAAAACAAATTCTAATGCTGAACAATTAAAATGTTGGTTATTAGTAATATACAGACTTCAATGCATTTAATTTAATTTGATCTTGATTGGAATATGAGCTGCAATTTCCATTTTTAGATTGTCAAAATATTAGAAATGTATCATTTTATTTTTAAATCTTAGAGGAAGTTTTAATTTACTAGATAAAAAAACCACCAATCTACAACCGTATGATTATGTAACTTTTATGTGGGATTTAGAAAAGCATAGCCTACTATCCACTTTTAATCATCTTACTTCAAAGTTTAAATAAGTAGTCCTGTTAATAAAACCAATCCAAGTAAATAGTTATTGTTATATATGCCTATTGGAGCAAAAGTCACATTAAATTGACTGTGATTTACTGCTGGCAAAAATATTTAACACCATACTTCTTTGTGCACAAGATTGTAAATAGTATTAAAATTAAAATATTGTAGCAAGTCTATTTCTATTATAATTATCATAGAAAATAAATATGAGCATTTTCCATGTAGGAAAGAAATCTAGAAAAATGAAAGAGCCTTAGAGGATCCTGCAAATAAAAGATAATGAAAGGCTGTCACCTTCCAAGGGAACCAAGGGAAGGAATCCATGCAGCAGCCATCTCTTAGTAGGCAGATTCTTCTTGGTTTAGAGAAAGTTTTATCATGCAGACAAGTATGTTTAATCCACTGATGAGACAGAAGGAGAAAGTGACACTAAAGGGTATCATGAGCAAATATTTACACTGATTGTCTACTGATAGGCCTTCATCAACAAAGCTTTATAAACCAACTCCGCATGCTGAATAATACAAAGTGATATTGCTTTCCTTTTCATTTTTCATGTGCCTAAATCGTTGCAAAATGAGGATCCATTAAAAATTATTTTTAAAAATGTAGTGTTGCTTTTTTGTGAACTTTTTTCAAATGTGATCTTGATAATATGCTTGAATAAAAAGCAGTGACTGAAGTATATTTTCCTTGCCTTTTAAAAACACCTTTAAAATGTGTTTTTATACAACATTAATTTTGAAACCATATCCCATATGAGTACTGGTATATCACATTAAATACATTGAATTAAATAAGATTATAAGATTACAGAAGCAGTAAAATATTGTCTATAATTTACCTAAAGTGCAGTCTGGTAGCCTCTCACTAAATTGGTACAATTCACTAAGCCTTTCCTACTAGAAAATTTAGTTTAACTGATAGAAATGTGGATTTTCTATTTAAATTTGTTCCTATTATTTCAAGAAGAAACTTTTTCAATATATCAATAATCAGCATTTGCATTATTTTGTAAAAGCTAATGATATTTGTTTAATACACCTTTTCGGCTAGTTGTCCCTTTGTATGCCAGGCATGCAATGTTCCACTCAGCAAATGATATATAAGGAGATAGATTTGGATCTGATTCCATCCCACACAGCTGCTTTTAAAGAATAAATTCCACTAAATAGCATCAAGTTGTGCCATGTTAGTTGCACAATTTGCTTTCTAGTTAAGTAATGGTTTAGAGATGTGTCTTTAGTGGTTTAAGAGATGTGACCTCAGTTATTAATCTTACATAATACTTGTGGAATTTTTAAAAACCCATCCTTTTAGCAGAATTTCATTCCCCGTTGTAAACACTGCCCATTTTCAGTAAGCCAATAGAAAGATGCACAAATGAAAAAAAGAAAAAAAAAATAATGATTCTCTCAAGTTGAACTTGACTTCGGATGACCATATCAGGATGCCCATGTAGTTTCCTTAACAACAACGTGCAAATGATTTGCCATTGCCTTTTCTGATTATTTTTTTTACTAATTAACAGCCCTGGAATTTTCTGGTTGTCCCCCATCCAATTTCTAACCAGGTCTGACACTGTTTAATTTTTTTAATCAGCCAAGATTCCATTCACAAATATATTTGCACTACAAGATATATAGAAGTATAATAGTATTCCCAGCCAAGGCTGGGGCTTGGTGAAATCTGGAACACAAAAAATTGGAGAAAAGTAATGTAAATCAATATTTACTAGCTATCCTTTGAAATGCTCCTTACTTTCTTTTTTTTCTCTCTCTACTGTCAGACTTCCAGCTCACCACTGGCAAACAGGACGCTGCAATAACCGTCTAGCCGCGGGAACTTCGTTAGGAGCTATTACGCATGCTCGGATATTTTCTTCCTTCTAAAGGAGCGTTCTTGTTCCTTAGCAACCTGAAGTGATGCATTGTGGGCTTGAGAGTTCAGGCCCTATACTTCAAAACAACGAGGGTCGCTTTTCTCCTCCGAGGCCTTGTTTGGGGAGAGCCAAAGAAAAAAGTCGCGCTAATGGGAGGGAAGCTAAGATTGTCTGGGAGATAGCGGGATACGGAAAAATCCCAAGTATGCTGGTTCTAGCTATTAAGGGTTGTTTTAAGAAAGGATTTCAGCCAATTAACATGCCTCTTTTTTTCTGCATTTTTACAGATTCTGATAATTTCCATCACTGCTGGAGCTCTCGTCCTTGGAACGGCTCAGCCAGGTGAGCATTAAATCAAAACTCTCCGATTGTTGCTAGAAGGAAACGATTGGAGAATCGCTGGAGGCGGCTAGGCTTGTGCTTTGAGTAGGAAAGGACTTTCTATTTTTTATTTATTAAACTTGTACGCTGTCGAACTTCCAATGACTCTGGACAGCTCACAAAAAATTACAATAAAGATTCTTCCTTCCTAAAACCCATTTTTCTTCTTGTGGTCAGAGGAAACATATCTGGGATGAGGTACTGCATCCTGGGAATTGAATAGTGGCTAGATATGAATTTGGGAACAGAAAGGGCCAGAAGTATCTTTTAAGAAACTGACTGCAGCCTTGTCTGGAGTTTGCAGAATTGTTCTCCCTGCCTGCCCTGGTGATCTCTCAAAGGGGGGTTGTTGCCACGTGTTTTGCATGGAAATCCCTTTGAAGATGATCTGGCTGCCATAGTTATTTGGAAGCTATGTAGTATAATTCTGTGGCAGTGGTTACCAATATCTGATCTATTTCAGAGGGCTTATTGCATCAATTGGGGGAACACATTCACCCGTACAATTTGGTCTCAAGTGACTGACAGAAAAGTCAGCTTGATTTGCATTTGGGGTTAGTATCCAGGCACCCTGGTGTCCATTTCAGTGCTGGTGTTAATGTGAGATTTTTATGAGCTAAGATGAACTTCTTAATTATTTTTAAAATGAGTTTCAATATTACTAATAGGGCAATGATACAACAGCTCCTGAGAAGCATGTGGAAATATTAATAGAATGAATTATGCCTTCAAGAATTACTGCCTTAGTGTGTTTGTGATCACACACAGAGATTTAAACTTTTGACACTAAACTTGGAATAAGTTCTTTTAAATTCAATAGACTAGCTTCTGAATTGTATTGTAAGATTACTGTCTTATACACCAGTTTGCTGTAGTGATTAAAGGATCAGGCTAGAAACTGGGAGATTGTGGGTTGTGGTCTGCTTTAGGCATAAAGACACCAGGGTGATCTTGGGCTAGTCTCTTTCTCTTGGCCCTAGGAAGTAGACAATTGCAAACCATTTCTGGAAGAAAAAAAACTTGCTAAGAAAACTGTTTAGGCAGTCTTCCACAATCAGGCAAGATTGAACTGAAAAATAAAATGTGTTTTCTTAGGAGAAAGTCAGATTATGTCAGTGGGACTTCTTAGTGAATAGACATAAAGTTGCATTCTCTTACCATTTGCTGTTTTGCTGCTGCGTCATAATTAAAACTGGGCTCTCAGTGTCTTGGCTTCTCTTATTCTTTTGTTAACGTGCATTGTG